AAAAATACACACCGAAGAATCCTGGGTTATTTCAAATTGGCCCCGGTTATCCCACAGTTTAGCATCCTGCATAAACCCTGTATCTCTGTGTTTTTAAAGAATTGACAACCTATGAATTTATCATTTTACGTCTCGAATTGTGTCAGAATATTCCCAATTTACACCTTTTAGGCGACTGCAACCGTATAACATAATAGCCTATAATGAAAACACTGCAAAAACCACAAGTCTCTTTCAATGCTTCAATTAACAGGAGGTTCAAAAATGCCTGTGAACTAACTGGTGGCTGGAATATTAGCAAAAAAAGTTATAGTCCTATCATGGAAGAGAAAAGAACTGAATGAATACAAAGTAAGAAAACACCATGAAGCACACTGAAGTATGTATAATGCCAGCACTATAAGCACCATGCAGACACAGAGGTTACACCTCTAAATCACAGCCTATGCAGACCTAATCTTCTGCATGTTCACTGTGTGTGCCATGTTGGCTGTGTCTGCCCCTGCCCCCCACCAACCTAATAAGACATTGCTTCCTAGAGCAAACAGCTGCATGGGTTGAAATTTATGTAAATATTTTGAAAGGGACACTGGCTCAGAAATTCATTTGCGCCGGCTCAGACGTAAAGCTCACCCCTCTGATTATTTTCAATTTATTTGCAAATCAAGACCCAAAGAGAACACTAAAGGGCTTGTGGGTTTTAACAAGGGTATCAGCAGCTATAGCTGGACTCGATGGTTTATTTTTGTGTTGTTTTTGTCTTATTTTTTTTATGCTATTAGACGCCACACAGCAGCTTCGACGTCTCTTCCTTTGGGTCGACGTGATATTGTGGTCAACACTGCTAATATTGCAAAAGGGAGCAGATGTCCCAGATCCCGCATGGCTTCCCTGGGGACCACCAACCCTATTAGAACAAATGTGTTCTGCTATTGTAAATAGGCACGTTTGCCTCAGCCCGTCCTATTACAGCCGACGCATGATCAATAGGCTGATAACACAGAAACATCAATGTAAAGCGACAGAACAATGAGGGATATCATCGAACATCTATCTTAATATAGCCCTGCTACAAGGGGCCCTGACAAAGTGGAGAGAGAGGGAGAAGAAGAAGGAGGGGAAAAAAGCTCATGAAAATGCCTCCCCACGAATCCCCATCTCCTATCCAATATGCACAAACACACACACTCCCAGCTGCCGGGGCTATTATTTTCCTATTTCAATTTGACACCCAGGCCTTTTCATGCTAATTCTATTATTCTTGGAAGTTTATGTGATTTCATATCACTAGAAATCGGTAATGTATTATAACCCCCTTTGAGCTAAAATAAACTGAATCCCCCTGCAGTAGCCACCGGGAAAATAATTACTTTCATATCAAAACTCTGCAGGAGTCGAGCGGGTCCTTTTCGCCTCAGGCTCGTAACCTCATTTCAGTGGGGGCTTATAGATGAATAAATTTGTTAAGGCAATATACAAAGTACAACATGAGATTTCTTAAGAAAGCCCTTCCTACTGTACTGTAGTCCTGCACTGTATGTGCTGCTATTTAAGGTCTCACACGGTTTGAGGTGCTTGTATACAATAGATTTATTTAAGAAAAAACTTACATATATAAATAGTATAATACCTTTTTTACAGCTCTTGAGGATTTTTGTTGGTCTCGTGGTCTTGTGTTGTTTGTTGTTTTTTTTTTTTGACAAGTTATCACACATTAAAGGATATCTAGAGACTCCTGACTCACACACACATACACACTCGCAGGGAGAGAGAGAGAGAGGGAGAGAGAGAGAGAGAGAGAGAGAGAGAGAGAGAGAGAGAGAGAGAAAGGGGGGAGAGAGATGGAGGGGAAAGAGAGAGAGAGAGAGAAAGGGGGAGAGAGATAGAGAGATAGAAAGAGAGATAGAGAGAGAGAGAGAGAGAGAGAGAGAGAGAGAGAGAGAGAGAGAGAGAGAGAGCGCACACCATTGTCAAAGTATCAGCAGAGTGGGGAAACCTAGAGATTAGATGCAAAGATGTAGTGTCTGGTTAAGCTTTGGCCTAATGAAAGGTGTCGTTTAGAGGCTATATCAGTATGTTTCTGCTTTTTTTTACCCCCAAGGATTTATTCCAAGTCGACATCTTCTTTAGAGTCTGTCTTTGTTTCTGCTGGACTGTCACTGAGTACAGACTCGGAGTTGACAGGGTGGTCCTTGTTCTCTAAATGCTCTTTTCTGTCTGCATCGACAGGTTTAATGAGTTGTGGACTGTGTTCGTGGGCGAAAGTCGAATCGCTGCAAATAACAGAGGTCTGAGTACTTTTGCCAGAGGGAAAGGCGGCCCTAGACGGGCTGGTGTGCGGTGATGAACGTGTCTTTTCCTCTGATCCCACAGGTCCCTTTTGTGCGTCTGCAGAGTCCGGCGAGCTGCTCCTACATCCCGCAGAGCTCGCTGCGACGCTGCAGCGGACGGTGGACTGGGTTCTCTCCGCTGGGGTGTCACTGTCAGAGCTTGCTGCTGATGTTGTCTTCAGAGCAGTTTGAGGAACAATGAATCCAAGCGGCTGTGTGATGGGATAGAGTAGGAAGTGTCCTTTCCCTATCAAAGGCCGTGAGGAGGGTAAGGCCGCGGGGTTGCGTCTCGGTCTTGCGTCCGAAAGGAGGCTTTCGACGCTAAAAGGGTTGAGTTTCTGCACGCCGGAGGCTCTGTTGTTGCTGGAGCACAAGCTTGACCGGTGGCTGGCGTCGGGCGAGTCCAGCTCGGATCCGCCAGCATCCTGGTCCAAGTGTCTTTGGTTCTGGTTTGGGGACTGGAGAGGGTGAGGTGTTTGGTCGCAGCTCGATTGCGTTTGGTTTGGTCCCCCCACAGAGTCATAAGGTGGGCCTGTGTTGTGGTCACTGTCGGTCACATGCGACACCCCGCTGTCGCTGTCCGATCCCGGGGTGTGAAATAAATCCCCAGACAGGAGCTTGTTCTGGGACTTGAGCAGCCGTCGCTCCTGCTTTCGCTTCTTCTTCTCCAGCCTGTCCAGCTCTCTCCGGGCGATCTCCTCGGGGTCCATGGGCTCCCCGCTGCAGGTGGTGGGGTGGGCGTTGTGAGCAGGTCGACCCGGACCTTTCTTTGTGTTCTCCTTTTTTCTCCATTTGGCTCTGCGATTCTGAAACCATACCTGCAGAGAATAAAAAGAGAAAACACGTGTAATGTGCACTTCTGTCACTGCAGGGGTCAATTAATTATAGGCAAAAATGGCCAATGTTTGAACAATATGATAATTAAACAAATAGTGAGGTCCTGATCTCTTGCTATTTTCTATGCAGGCCTGTTATTAGGCCTTTGATTAAAAACCAATCTTTGCACAGGCAAGGCTACAAAAAGTTAGGTTGCAGCCTAACAGAATTAGCTTTACATTTACAGGCATAGGTCAGGTCTTAATTAATTTCTTCCTACGTAAACTCCGCAATGACACTTAGCCTAACCTTAACTTAAAACTCGCTGTTTTTATTAACAGAAATATTCTCATAATAAAATAAAATAGGCTGGTATATTAATTCACGCTATTCACCTAACTGAGGTTGGGAACTATACACTGAATATTTCTGGTCTTTGTTTATCCAAGGCTGTCGATAGCCTATATTTGACAAATAACGCCGAGATTCATGACAAAATAATATAGTCCAAAAAATGCAAAGACCAATTATTAAAGGCTCCATTATTTTTAGAAATAAAGGTGTCAGTAAAATTGATTTATGACACTAATATAAGCCATGAAAGGTCAAACAACACACATCCATCCAGGGGGTCCTTTTAATTATTATTTGTTTTAAATATTACGAGGTAGGCTATATATTATGACCCCAAATTAACCCATGCTATTATTTCTACAATTTGTTTTCTGCACTGTGGACCATATAATTGAAATACTGAGCTTGAATTAATAATAAATATACACACACAAGCCTGAAATCACAACTAAAAACACATATAAAGGAACAAAATTAATATTTACCTGAACCCTTGATTCTATCAAGTCCAGTCGGAGAGCCAGTGCCTCCCTCATGAAAACGTCGGGATAGTGGCTCTCATTAAAAGCCTTTTCTAATTCCTCCAGCTGCCAACCGGTGAAATTTGTGCGAGTTCTCCGTCTCTTGCAACCAGGGCTATCTTTGTCTGGGTCCCCCGAGTCTGACAGCAGAATGAGAATACATGTAAACAATGGATAACTAGCCTACATATTTTTTAAATTACCACATTTTAACACAATTCTAACACGACTGCTTTCATGCATATGTAACGGATTCTGCAAACTTTAGAGCTGAAGAGGATGACTGCATTTGACATTTTGCTGTGTACACACATGCAAGCCTGCAGCTTCTATCAAATCTGTCGCCTTTTCTGAATTAAGATGAAACGTCCACATGTTAACACAGCCATTTCCTTGCTCTAGTGTTTACTGACTGACAGAAACATTGTATTTGCTTCGGCGCATCTTCAGCTTTTCGGTGATGAAAATGAAGTGGGAGGCGAAGAATACTCCTCTGCCTGTGTGTGTGTGTGTGTGTATGTGTGTGTGAGTGGTTTGGCTTTGCCCTTTAAACACACCACCAAGAGGATAACTTGTATCGCAATATCCTGCCTTTGTTTCTTTCTGTTTTTGTCTTTGTGCAAGCAGCCAACCTGAAGAGGTTATTTTGTAGTATGCTATGTAATGTGGCTTACCTGACAGTTTGTAGTGCTGATTATCTCCATTCATCCCGCAGCCCGAAGACAAGAGGGGGTTGGAATTACCCACTGAAGCCGTGCAGGAACCATTTAGTAATCCGTCTATTGAGAAAGGAACCGCGGACGCAGATTGAAGTTGATGCCCGGCTAATTCGTAAACGTGATGGTGGCTCAGATGGTACGGGAAGCCCACCATCCCGCCGAGAGAGCCTCCGAACTGGGCGTGAGGTGGATCCAGTATCCTGCTGTCCATCATCCCGCAGGCAAAAGGAAACGACGTCTGGAGGCCGGTGATGGGAATTTAAAAAGCATGCAGTGAGTGTGGCCAACGAGTAGGGGACATGATGTGAAGGGAGGGATGAGCTGTACTTTATCCACATGAACCTCCCAATAATTAGCCCAGGCTCTGGGAATATGAGACCCAATGAGAAGCGGTAATGGACTCTGACGTCAGAGACGCGCTCTGCAAACGCTCCCCGTATCGATTGCTAATTAAAGCTGACATCCACCTCAATAAACAATATCAGAGCTGTCACAACAAGACAGGAGGGCTTTGATAAGAACTACATCGCAACTACACGGGGGACCCACCGGGAGGAAGGGCTCACTGAATCCCGGGAAGAAAAGGCTACAGGCGGATAGGTTAGGCCAGAGGCTCCCGGACTTTTTTGTTTAGTGGAGGACCTGCAAATAGATGGATGTCTAACCAGATTAGACAACCAAAATGATTATATTTTATTCAAGTTAAAGCCATAGCTGTTTATTATTGTTATTATTTTAATCTTTTTCTGTAGTATTATTTTATGTATTCTTGGATATTGGCATATCATGGGGAGGTAGCAGAAAAAGGGTGAAAGCTGATCAGAAATGGGAAAGCTACAATAATAACTGATATTATATTGATGAATTAAAATATTCCTTTTTTTCCCCCAGGGATGTCTGCAACCTTCTTTGGACTGTGGGACCCTTTGTTGTCCCTGAGCCCCACTTTGGGAACCACTGAGTTAAGATGACCCCCCATGTTAGTTATGGGTCATCATTTAAATACATTAAACCTTTACAATCAGGTAGGTTCACACGCAGGCCGTAAAACAAATAGGGTGATTGGTGAAATATGGGTGTGTTTAAAGGGAAGATATTGCTGAAGGCACACAGCGAAAGAGAAACTATAATATTTTACTGTTACAAGGCGAAAGCCTCAGTTACGACCAACGCTGTGTTATGAACAAAATATATGAGCAAATAAAGGAAGCCTTCAACTACTTCAAGAACAGGGGCAGTTCAATATAACAGAATAAAAAAAGTGACAAAATGCCATCCTCATATGTACATTATAGGCATTCACAACATTTCCTGTCAGGAAACCAAATTGGAAAGCTCCTCCACTTGTGCAACCCCTGCACTCAATATGTGACTAGCCTAAATCCTATCTGCTCATTAGGTTTTCAAATAATTAATTCGACTTTATTTATCCCCAGTCTGGCGCTGTCATAATGTTAATCAGAGTTGAAATTTCGCACCCCACTCATTCCCTGACCCTTGGCACCCGGATTGGCATGTTGTAATAACCTGAATCTCTCAACAGAAGCTGCGATAATTGTTACCCTATTAGCATGCAAATTGTTTAATTAATATTATTATGAGGAAGTATATAATCCGCTCGTCACTTGACCCCCAAGCCCAAATAACAACCCTCTGTATTTCAGTGTGTAGCCCTACATTTTAATGAACTCCTCAGAAATGATCTCGCCTATTTATCCATCTTCCTTTTTTTGCAGCAGCAGCAGCAGTGGGCTCGTCTTTGAAGCGTTTCCTTCTTTGTATTTTAACTTTAATTTTAACGCACCCGGACAAGATCTTATGAATAATTCCTCCCCATTCATTTCTTTTTGAACATCTAAAATTCAATAATTGCTTTTCGTCATTTCAAGCATATATAGGCTGTCCCCAACTCGGCCGCACACAGGAGCTCAGTGAAAGGCAGCCCTTGACATAGTCTCCAGAGACATTGCATTTAAATCCGTTTTTCTACAACCGGGTGACATTGTCAGATTCTAGCTTTAATTAACCCGATAATAAGGCGAACAAGGCCAGCATTCAGCCGCGCTGTTGCCCTGCCTTGTTACCTTTTTTATAACTGGCCCTTTTGGCAGCAGTTCAGAGGAAATAAAATAATAATAAAAAAAATACATTTTCTTCTCATTGTGAGTTGTTTGTTGCAGCTGGACACGTCTCTTTATTGCACCTATGTAGCCTATTGTTGAGCTGAATCAATAAGAGCACATGACCTATAGACTAATTGATTAACTTTCCAGTGAAGGAGATACATTCCAGGACAAATAAGTGGTGGGGGACAAATCATGGTTGAGTGTTTTCATCTTTCTGTTATACAAAAAAAAGGTGTGCAAAGTAACATGTCACTTTAGAAGGAAAATTGAGGGAACAATATTTGAATATACATCTAAGACCAAATGTAAAGTGATTGGACTTCCAAAGAAAATTATTGAAAGCAACTTTCTAAACCTTTCT